GCAGCAGTTGCTGCTGCTGCTGCAACACACCCAAGGGGCATCAACATGCAGGCTGAAACGAATTCGTCCGGGGTTGCTGCTTGCCGTTTGCTGCTGCTGCGGCTGCTGCGGAATGGATACACTGCAGCAGAAGCAGCAGCAGCACTAAAGGAGGGGCAGCTGCTGCAGCAGCAGCAGCAGCAAGATCTGCTGCATGCGCTCGCAGGCCTCCTAGACGAATGCCTGCAGCACCAGCCCGACGACAATACAGATGCAGCAGCTAAGCAGCAGCAGCAGCAGCAGCAGCAGCAGCAGCAGCAGCAGGATGGCGATGCAGAGAACCAGCGTCCTTCTCAGCAGCAGCAGGTGCTGCAGCAGCAGCAACAGCAGCAGCAGCAGCAGCAGGAGCCGCCGAGCAAACGGGCCCGTACGGCCGATACAAACACCACGACCAGCAGCAGCAGCAGCAGCAGCAGCGACCCAGCAGCAGCAGCAGCAGCAGCAGCAGCAGCAGGGGGGCAGCAAGAAGTGCTAGCTGGGGGGGCGTTGACGCGGGAGCTGCTGCTGCTGCTAGTCTCGCTGCTGCAGCAGGTGCAGCCTGTGCCTGCTGCTCTGTCTGCTGAGTCTGCTGCAGCAGCAAACAGCTGCATGCGTCTCTTCTTCTCTAACCTTTCGGGTGTACATGCAGCAGCAGCAGCAGCAGCAGCAGCAGCAACAGCAGCAACAGCAGCAGCAGGTACTGAGGTCTTCAGCAGCAGCAAAGAATGGGAGACGTTGATGGAGCGCCGCGTTGCAGCAGTGTGTGAGCTGCTGTCTGCATGCAGGCGTTCTGCTGCTGCTGCTGCTGCTGCTGCAGCAGCACCAGCAGCAGCAGCAGCAGCTGATGAAGCAGCCCTCTGGAAGCGCTGCAGCAGACAGCTGCTGCTGCTGCGGCAGTGGATTCGCTTCTTTGCTGCTGCAGCAGCAGACCGCAGCGAGCTGCTGCTGCGGCTCTCTACATGCAGCCACCTTCAGCCCCTACACACAATGCTACAGAACAGCAGCAAT